GATGCAGCGCGTTTATGTTAAGAAAGCACACCGATTGCCTCCGAACAGAAGCAAGTTGCTCCTACATCTCGTCGACTCTCCTACACGCGTTGTAATCGTCTACGCATGTACGGACACCGACGACGCGTGTAAGCTACAAAGCCGCGAGGGAAGGGAGAAGTGTTCTTGAATTATCGCGTTATTGAGAGAACTACTAATCCATCTCGATGATGATTACATTGTACGCAACTGTCGTTCACTTAACGCTTTATACCATAAGTAAGAATTTTAACGAGATTTTTCTGGGATATTTACCTCCCTTTCCACCAATAATAACTTTGATTCTCGGTTCAATTTACTCTTTATCCTTTTTCAACTCATAAAACTATATATAAAGATAGAACATGAATTTAACCGAGATCAAAGTTAATCTACATTGGTGAAAAAATGGGGATTAGAAAATTAAAATCAATCGAGGTCGATTCTTTCAAAAAATACACAGGGAGGACATGAAATAATATCTTGGATAATTACCCATATAACTAGATAGTCGATAAGATACTAGGTCGAGCGCTACTCACCTGAAATTATTGATCAACAACTGATTAAGGAGAATCTCGAGAATACGTGGCGAACAAGAGAATACGTGGCGGAGAAAGGAAAGAAAGATGAATAAAGCTAGAGCTCGTTAAGTTTCTATCACCTGGCCGCGTCGAGGGAGAAAACGGCAGACCGAAGGACAAAGCACGCGGCGGAGTCACTGGCGAACTATGAAGCGGAAACGTATTTAACCTCTCACCTACATCGCATTAACGCCGGGTTATGGGATAGTCTTTTTACGGTACCGCGTCCCTATGGACGGCACCAATGCGCAACAACATCGAGCGTTTTACGATACGCCGCGACACCGTGTACTCAATCATTTATGATCCCCACGTCGTTCGCGGGAACTACACGAGTACGTGTACGTGTACTTGTCGCATCTCATTCTGTTTCCCCGCGAAATAAAGTGTCGATGAAGCGAAATGAGACAAGCTCTTTTTTACATCTAGAATTTCAAAGGATCCCGTAAATTCCCATTTTAACTTTTATATTTTATATTTTAATGTTAATATTATTTGATATTTTTATGTTAATATATTTTTTGTAAAAATAGTGAGATGTCGCAACGTGTAAGATTTTTCCTAGGATTTGGGAGATTCAAATCTGAACCTTTCAAGATTGGAATAAAAGAAAATGATATGGGGATGGAGCAGAATAGCTCCATTACAACGAGAACATCAAGTTGCGGAAGACGATCGCGTGGAAATTGAAGAAAATTACAGCTGCCAGTCATAGCCGCATGATTTATATTTGCACGTTCCCTTAGCTCGCGGCTCGTTCCCTTTAAGCTGTAGCCGAATGGCTTCGCACAAGGCTGTTACGCGCCTGAAGACGTTATTAGGCACGGCGGCGCGTTATGCTCGTCAAATCGCGCGGTTGAACCACGCCGAACGTAGGCTCTAACTGTAATCTTACGATCGTCTGCTCGAATAGAATATTGGTTACCGCGATATGATTCTTCGCGAGATGCGCGGCACTGATCTGCAATTTAGTTGCTGACTCGATTTTTCTGTTTAAACGGTAGACAGGTTCTAGAATGTTACACGATTAGTAGTAGGCTTTTTCATATAATAGTTTCCAGATCATTAGTATGAAAAAGCCAAAGATTGGAAAATTAATAATACTAATCCTTCCTCTCTCCTCTTGTTGATATATGTAAAATATTTTGCAAACAACATATCTTATGTATATACATTCGTACAAAGTATTTAAAATAAAAATTTAATAATAATATTGAATAAAGTAAAAGTAAAGTAAGATCTTGCGGAAAGCATTATAATTCTCAAAAAGTGCACTGTCCCGCGTTTTTTATCGTCATGTAAATCCGGACGGGCTAAAGCCAAGATGCTTTTGCAAAAAGAGCCGTAACAATATCTGCATAAGATATATATGCTGCGACGGGGCTAGTTAGCGAGGCGTTTCATTAGGCAGATAAGGCAATCAAGCAACCCGCCATCTCGGTGAATTGTGCATGGATCGTACCGGCGAATGTGCGTGAGTACGTTAAGCGCGTGTGTGTATGTGTGTGTGTGTGTGTGTGTACGTAGCGGTCAACGAGTACTTTACGTTACTTGTACGCATAGCATTTCGCGGAGTACCTACTCTAATAAGCCGCATTAAGACGCAGTCCGTCAGTTTGCGGTATTCGCGGAGCTTACCATACGAAATGTTCATCTCAAAGTGAAGCGGAGGACGTTTCACTCTCGAGGGCGCAGTGGAAATAAAGTCGGTATTACGACTTTAGTCCGGCTCCATCGCGAGGGAAATGCATTTACAGCTAATATGTATGCTATTCGAAATTCCTACAAACTCCTGCGGACGTGGCGGCAAAAACCTACCGTGTCGTTGCGCAATTTTATTAAATTCCCTCCAATATGGACGGTCTTTACTTTAATTACTCTCGATACGAGAGAATCCGGGATAACGTTTGGGAGGCTGACACGCGTGCAGTTTGCCATTTCCTGAAAATGCTCCTGCATCGCATCTCGTTAACTCAGAATAAATTGCATTATCCCCATCCTTTGCTCGGTAGCAAAATGCTGGAATATCGGTTGCACCTGCTTTAAACTCGTACTTTGCAAATAAATAGCTTTACGTTCAAGTTGAAAGCGCTGCTGTTTCACTCTCGCGTCGAGAGTCCTTTGTGACTCCATATTAGGCTACGCGTGCCAAATCAGTAGCTAGCTCGGTTATCTGGCTAGTAAATGGAATTGCGTGCATTCGGAATTGTCTCGATATCTCGAGCGGCCCACGTGAACAACTCGGAGACTTCAGAAGCGCATTACGCACACCCTACATGTCGTCCCTTCAACATCCTCGGCCCGAGCCAGAATATCTCGTACGTCCTACGTAAAAGATTCAACGTTCCATATTCCCTACGAATACATTCCGACGCACACGAACGTCGCACGTATACGTGTTAATGTATACATTTAAGATACTACTCAAGGTACGAGTATATTTAATATCGTACATTTATTTTTACATTTCTCTTAATTCCTATTTTATTAAAATACGAATTATTTCCGGATGTCAAAAAATTATAGGTAGCGAATCTAATAAGTCTCAAGAAAATACAGTAGTTAAAAGTAGATATACCTCAATTATAAAAAATACCGTGCTTCGCGAATTTGTATCGATACAAGTCCGAAGTGGCGTAATAATTACAGCCGATACATTTCCCCGTGAGAGTGTAATATCGAGCACGACACGCTCGGCGAGTAAATTCGCGTGGTCGTCTGCGTCCAGGAGACGTAAAATCGTGCGCTAAGAAACTAAGACCACCACGACGAGAGCCAGTACTGAGGAATAAATCTCCCGATCGACTACCGGCTGCCATTCACTGCTGCGCCTCTGCTTGCGTGCGTGCGAGCAGGCGAGCCGAGCGGACGAGCGTTCGTTTATGCGCGCCTCTATATTTAATATCATAAATTATCATCCGTCCGCGAACGGGCTACCAGCAAACCGGACGATCCGGGAATTACTGGAACGTAATTAAGCGTGAAACGTGCCGGGTTCTCTGCGCGCGGCGACAGATCCGTGTGCATGCAACGCGCGAGGCTACCACAAAAAAAAATACACGCGAGAAGCGTGTTCTAGGAGAACGAACGTGTCTAAATGCCACACGGCGATGCGTGCGCGCGTCTTCCTGATGGCCGCCGACTAGACGAAACGTTTCGAGCTTTTGAGACTTTCGAGATTTAACCCGCAGGCAAGGTCAAGATAGCGTATACGCAAATGTCCGTATTATACCTGCCTCATTTACAATCCGTCGATTAATTATCTGTAGAGTTTTTTTTTTATGATAGATCGAGTCGCCAAATTGTGTATAATTGGATATAATGACGTTATTATTTCTATAAAAAGAAGTTTCAATTACGATCATCGATGAAAATGAGTCTCAAGTTGATATTTTGTAATTTATAAAATCGCGTTATATATAATAACTTGTTAATAATTAATTATCAGTTTGCACAATGTTCTCAGAAAAAAATGCCAATATTATATCGAAAGCTTGATAGACATAAATAATTTGTGCAAAGCAATATGCATTACTTGCTTACATATTACTCGCGCACCTTGCTGTTTTGCGTGAACAGTAATTAACGCAATTACATGTTAATTTATTCCAGCTTAATTTAATATTAAAATATTAAACACTTAATTTACAGGATTTGCATCGAATAAATTAATTTATAATTGTCTTACCTTCTTATCACATAAGAACTACTATATTTTGCCATAGGAATTACTAATTATAACTACATTTTTACATAAGAACTACTAATTTGTAAATTTTTGACTGCATATTTTCAAAGTTTCCCCAGAATATCTTCTCACAAGGAATTCGCGTTATTATTATTTATCCTTACACATATCAAGAAACAAGTGGAGGTAGAATTTCACAATTCTTTCTCTGATCGCAGATTATAAAATACATTTGTGACTCGATGTGTCGATCTAACAGTATTTCTTGATTTTTTTTTCACACCTCACTCACGCGCGTCATCGATAGATCGGTAAATCACGCCTCGCATGACATACGTAGGCAATTAACGTATATCTACGGACGATTAGGTGCGTTAAGGACTACATGCGCCTCCGATCATGCTCTATCGCATGTTGCAGCGTGGTTAACGTGTGGGTGTACACGACCAATAAGATATATAGTAAGGAAACCCACGTCACCTTGCATTTGTTTACTTTCTTATCGAATATAAGTTATAATTTTGCTATCATTAAAATTTTTTTCTAAAGTATAAAAAGTATAAAAAGGATATTCTCTTTTAACATAAATCCATAATATAAAATATTTGTGTGTGTGTGTGTGTGTGTGTGTGTGTAATTATTTATTTTTATTTATAGTTTTGTTATTTTTGCTACATTCTACATTTGTCACCAATATTTTTTTACCAATTCTGCTTTCAATAATTTAATTTTTAACTTTTAACAATAATAATCGATAAATGGAGCAATTCTTTATGAGAGTCGATAAAAGCAAACAGAAAATAAAGAAATATAGTTGTTTTAGCTAATGTTAAAATATTCTTAATTCTAAGAGTCCTTTGCACGCACGAAAACGCTTATTTTAGCATGACTCGGCAAGCACCGCGCAGTAATGCAGATACATTGCGCGAGCTCTCGAGTTCTTTTTGCGCTCGCTGGATTATCCCGCGGCGCCATATTTTGCTTGGCCACGTCTGGCGTTGGCTCCGTATCCAAGGATCTCATTCCGCCGATTCCTTCGTTTCCCATTCGCGGCCAGACAGCACAAAGTGGACGCGCATAAAGGCGCGACCTTCCACTAGGCGCTTCTTCCTCGTCGCCCATCGTCGTCGTCGTCGTCGTCGTCGTCGTCGGAGTGAATAGTCCGTTGCTGTGTATATGTGGGTAGATAGGTATATAAACGCACATATATTTTCTCCTGATCTGGAAAACAATACACATGGATTTATACGCACCGCGGCTCGAGGCAATAACTTACGGTACGAAACGCTGGTTCTTTTGCGTTTCCCTGCCTATCCCGGACGTGCTTCTCTCTCTAAATAAGGATACGATGGAAATAATTTCCCATTTCTTTGTTCCACATTTCCTCCATCATAATAAAGGACTACATTTTTCCTTCTCAGTAATAATGCGCCACCCCAAAGATTTCTAATAAAGATCATTCATAATCATAATCATAATCAAGATCTTGTGCTTGATTAATACTTCTCAAATATCTTATAGATTAAATTACATATAAAATCTCTGAGCATATTTTAATATTTATTAAAATAAATTATCATAATTTTGTCTTCTCTGATTTTTAAAGATTTTAAAAAAGAATAAATCTCTTATTTTTGTGATTAAACTTGTCATCTCAGTTAATTAAAGAATACACACATATTTCTCTCTCTATAAAAATAATATATGTTTTAAAAATGGAATATTTTAAACATATTATGCCGACGAGCGTGATATTATATGCAAAAATAGTTTCCGCAGGAAACTATTCTCGTAGGCATAAATTTCGATTATTGGCGTTGTTTATGCCGGAGATGTTCGGCAAACGCGAACGCGATAAATCTCAACGCGCACATTCCGGTCTGAAGAATGGAGTTTCCCGACAAGCGCCGATTTGTCAAGAAGGGCTTCGAATACCTCTCAATGGCAACAAGCGGAAGGCTCACCCTTCGTGGCATTTCGAAGCCACAATGCCATGAATGTGTGTTCCTTATCCCAGTGTCAGAGAAATGCCAGTCGATACGACGGAGGGAAAAGTAGAATAGCTCCGTTTCTCTCCTTCCATTGAGATCGGAGAAGAAGCCTGCAAAATTTACTTACTTACGGCCCGTTCTTTCTCCACTGGACCTTCCAAAGCGGATAACTGTATTACGTTACATTGTACTTCTCAGTACCTACGGGGTATCACCTGATTTCTTGTTGGTTCGGCAATAAAATCCATGACGTGCACTAAAAGAACCGGTCGATTGTCTACCAAAATTGTCATGCTGCGCTCAAAAATTTAATAAAAAAAAAAAATATTAAATATATACTCTCGTTTGAACCAGTATAATTTCATATTTATTAACAATTAGCATGCGGCAGTATAAGATAAACAGTCTCTCTGTCGCGAAATTAATTCGTGTTGTCTGAATAACATCGATATATCTTCAACGTTTGGAGAACGTCTTGTGCACAACGAGCGCAGACTCTTCGACATTTACCGGTCATTAATTACTCATGAAATCACCGTGCCATTCCCTAACAGAAACCTACACGATCGTCCGTCGCAGTGCGCGTCGATGACTGTAAACGGGCGGACGGATCCATCCACGTGTCATTGTCTCCTCAATACCTGTCATCCGGACTTTCTCCTATCGACTGCTGATGGTCGATTCGCGGGCGCGCGTCCGCATAAGTCCTGGCAAGGATTTATCGTGCCCGTCGATCGTATGTAATGGGTTGAACGACCTCGACTTTATCTTGAGACTTGAACCTCAGACCGCGAACAATCGATCTCGCGCGAACCCGCGCGCGGTCCGGAGAAGGACGAGCGCCCATTATAGTCGACGGATAGAAACGTGCGTGCGAAAGGTCGTGACTGCCGTAGCTTCGCGATAGATCGGCGTTTTTACACTTTCTAATGCTCCGCCGCGATCTCTCACCGCACGGGGCTAACGATAACGAAATCCCTCCGTTCCTGCCGCTGCATTGCGGATCCGCCGTCGCTTTATCGTACGTCATTATGGATGAAGCTCGACGCGCTTCCGGTATCGCTCGGTACAAAATGATTTGACATTGCTTTAAACGCTCCTCGACCGTTTCACTTCACGCGGACGCATTAGACGAACATCTCCCATGAATTTAATCTCAATATTTTAGTTTAATAATAATAATAATAGTTTAATTGCAAACGCGAGTTTATTTGATAATCTGTTAATTAAATCAAGATTTGTCTTTTAATTATTTTTAATGAGAACAATGGATTCTTTTAGTTTTCTTTGTGAAATATCACAATCGGAAACGCGTGATGTAAAAAGATTTATTATTGGACCTGACGTAAAGAGTTAAGATTAGCGAAATTCACGCGCAATTAAGATTATGTCGCAATAGAGAAAGCGAAATGTGCGAGAGAACCTGTGCCCGTGTTAAAAACATAATATACTTGTAGACACTAACGAGCCTCGACAATTTAATGGCATAATGTCATTACACTCCCAGGGAGGCATTGCACCGCGATAGAGAGATATAATAGGACTGGCGCTAATTAATAATTAATAACCCGGATCCAAATTAAATGGCTTTAAGGGTCGAGGGTGGTCGCCGATACGGAGCGATGAATGCCGCGGCGCGTGGTATATCGGAAATGGCATTGGGGTGGTTCGGAATGGCAGAGGGGCGAGAGTCACGACGAAAGATAGAGAGAGAAGCGAGAATTCTCCTGTTCGAAGGGTGTCCCAGGGAGCTCAGGATTGCTCCGAGGGGTGTTGCATTATTTATGGCCGCCATCGATCATCGTCCGGCAAGTAGGACCGTCGCGAACACCCCACTAATCGCCATATGACAACCGTATTTATTTTAAAGTCGCCCACGTCAACATATGATGCATTAATCTTAATTGTTTCACTTGCCGTGTCACCCTCGTCGCAGAGAGGACCTCCTGGGCCTTTGCTAAAGCTGCCGTATATTCATTTCATGATAAAAGCGAGTTTCCGAGTTCTCGGCTCTGTGATACCACGTTTCTCTGAGAAATATCGATCTGATGCCTTTAGCATACGTTGACACTTATTAATTCATGCGGCTAACTTGAGCGAATATCCGTCACGAATAAATCGCTCACGATCCCTCGGTACCGCTGCATCGTCGAAAGTGATTTCTACGAGTAACCGCTTCTCCTAGCAGGTAAGCTCATTGACCCTCGACCGCCATAGAGCCGTAGGAAGCGGCACGAAGGCAGCCGGAGTACACGAGGGTGGAAGTGCAGTGCAAGTAGTGCTATGAAATATGCATAGAGAGTGGAAGGGGCTCGGGATGCATGACACCGAGAGAGGAAGGGTAAAGAGGAGAAGAGGAAGAGACGGTTGAAGACGAAATATGAGCGGCGGGAGGGAGGGGTGGCGGACTTGCGCTGTATTCGAATTCGAAGTCGAACGAGAGAGAGAGATAAGAAGACCGTTGCACCTCGGCAAGCATCGGCGGCTAGAACGTAACGGAAGGATCGCAACTTAGCAAGAGGGACGGGGAGAGCAAAGAGGGACTGTTGCAGGATCGACGTATAGGAACAGCGTCACGCATGCATCTGCAGGGGAACGTACAAACGTACGCGGGGGGGGGCGGGAAAGATGAGCAAGAAGAAAGGGAGGGGGGAGAGCTTTCGCTCATCCCGTGCACGGTGACGGCGAGGGTCGTCCATTGACCTCGTTCGCCTCGCCATTGCTTAACCCGCAACGCAAACCATTATCTTTGCGCTGCGCAATGTGCGTGCACTTAGCCGCGCATCCGTGCGTAGTGCGTGCGTGTCTGCATGTGCGCAAGAGAACGCGCACGTACCGATGATGATTTATAGCGTTAGCGAGAACGCCGTCATCTAAAAGCCCGTGGATTGGAATCCTAAATGAAACGTCGTGAATCAACGTTTTCCGCCAGAAATCTATTTAACCCGCGCAGACTTTTTCGTTTGAGACATTAGCAAAAACTACACTGCTTATGTTAAAAGCCTGTATATAAGATAGGTAATAATAAGGTATTGTAATATTTCTCTTTAATGCTCTTGTAATTACGCAATTACATGTTTGAAATATTTTGAGAATTTGCTTTATAATTATAAGAATAAAAAGTACTAGTACAGAAACTTTGATATTCAATATAAATAAAATATCAAGTTTCTGTTAACATTAAATATCATAGCAAGAATATTTTTTTCTGACTTTATTTACGCGTATTATATAGAGAAAGTGTTACATTAAAATGGAAATTTATATAAATATGCGAGACGCGGTAAATTGTGAGATGCAATTTGTACCGTCGCAATCTCCGTTGAAAATCGGCGGATATTTATATCCGATTGAGTGCATCTCAAATAAAAAGAAAAACCTACTCTCGATAACGTAATAATCGATAGGACGCTGCGAGAGCTCGACGTTCGCACGGAGACGCGCTGACCCTCGCGAATCCGGATATTTGACCACGATGATTTATCGGCGGGACATCGGTGGCTACTAGAGCGAAATCAATTTCCGCGTGTACGGCGGGCGATCTTTCACGGTCGATCTCACGGTGGCCTCCTCGGCCAAGGCGGAAAGAAAAATCGTAGGAAGAATCGCGCTGGCAATATGCAACGTAAGCACCGAGCATCCGTACGAAGATTGCGCGAAACCGGCACGAGAGTCGTGTACGATAGGCGTACGGCTTCAAGCAGCGAGTCCCGGACTGGCATAACTTGTTCAACACGTTCCTCGCGCGATGGGGTCATCGTCGAAGGAGAAGAGATGCTGCACTGACCGCGTCGGGGTCACCGCGGGGTTGCGCAGCGGCAGCGCACACGTGGCAGCCTGCCGCCGGCAATTCGGTTGCCGGCAATACTATTCCAGCCGTGAATATCTGGCCAAGTGCTCTCGTGCGACCCGCCGATATAAATCACTCGAGATAATCATGGTCGATGGCCGCTTAATCGCAGGACACATCACCGACGCGCGAACGCGAGAAGCCTATTCGACGTGCGAGTATATGATCACCGTCGTCGCGCCAAGTCGACCAATTATTACGGAAGAGATATGCGCCCGTGGCGCATTGGACGATCGGTGAAAAGTTCAATCACGGCGCTAACCCGACGATACGTTGACCCCGGAACGGAGCGAGCAGGTGTTCGAGCAGATCGTACGTAGCCGACGACCTTATCCGGCGTGAATCTCGCTAAAAGGGTAAAACCAGTTATGTGCTCTAAAAGAAAGTCCGTGATAGATCATCATCATTATTGGTAATGATAGAAATTGAGATTTGTACGAATAACTGAATCTTACCTTCGGAAGAATATATTCGGACTTACAGCTCTATAATTTTTCCTCGAATGTCTATATCTCCTTTATGTATGTAGCCGCGCAACGAAGAACGTACGAAAATACGAAAATTATATTACCGGCGTGATTCTTGGCGAAATCAAAGAACACGACTCACGGCCTTCTTTAAGCTTGAATAGCAAGGCCGGAGGATAGGCGAGCCGACGGCGAAAAAGAAGGTGTCGTGATAATGCAGTTTCCACAGTTTCTGCTGCGAGCGCGATTCTTTCTAATTTCGTGCCTTCTCTTCCCGCTTCGCTGCCACGCGCTCAGATAATATGAGAGCGCCCCAGAACCGGAGGGCGGATGCGCCTCCGTTACTTTTCTAATGACAACGGCGCCAATCGGGGCGGCCCCGTGACAAAAGCAGGGTAATGAGAATAGAAGTAAATCATCGACCATTGTGAGGTAATCCCCGGGTATTGTCTGCCAGTGCGCGCGTGATGTATTATGTTATTGGAGCGAACAAGCGAACGAACTGGCATCCGTCGCAAAGACGCCGTAAATTTTTCCGCCGTCGTCTCGAACGCGGTGTCTTTCAGTACGCGTACTTTTTCTCGCCGAACCGTCCGTCCTCTCGATTGACGCGCCGTGAATCGCGCGATACGACAATCGCATTAGTCACGTTTCTCTTCGACAAGTGTTTCGCTGATTTAAGAAAGCTATTATCGTGCACCGGCGCTTACATAAATCAAATTCAATTCCGCGCGATAAAAGATAATACTTGTCTTCTCGTCTACTTGTCGTTATAACGCGTGATCAATGAATCACTCAACGCGACTTTCATTGTAGGATGCAAGCAGCTAGTCACAATATTGTAATTCACGGCGCGCATTTGCAATCAGGTCAAAGTTCAACGAAGACGCGGAGGGCTTTGTCCAAATGTTTTGAAAAAAAAAAGTAAAAAAAAAGACCAACCGCGCCGCGCGTCGCGCAACTTGCCGACGTCATTG